GGGGTACAGTTTGTCCTCAGCGTCTGCACATGGCTACCATAGCTCGGGTCATATTACACAGCTTTTGGTCTAGGCTTCCAGCCCCTGCAGAAAAGGGTCATTTCTTGTTTGCAGTTTCCAACATCTAGCCAGGCCATGATGCAAAGTCAGTGCTCAAAAATGCTGAATAAAGGAATGAACAAAGGAACTGCTTTCCCCACCCCCCTTCAGCAGAATATAAAGAAAAGAACCACAGTGGGATCAAAAGATCTGGATTTCAACTCCAATTTACTTGAACTCCTAAGCTGCAGAATAATGGATAAGAAAACTTACCTTGGGGAGGAGGGTACAGTTCTGTGGCAGAGCCCATGCTTAGCATGTATGAGGTCCTGGGTTCAATCTCCAGTACTTCTATTAAAAAAAAATGAAACAAATAAATAAACCTAATTATCCCACATCAAATATTAATTATTTTAATTCAAAATTCAGAAAAAGACCTTGCAATTGACATAACATTGTAAACTTGATTATACTTAAATTAAAAAAAAATCCTTGCCTTACAAGACTATATCTGAATTATGGAAGTTTGCAAATGTATAATGCCTAGGGTACAATCTGCATAAAAAGTGGGGGACTGTACACATTTAATATCCCTCCTTTATGAGCTATATTTCCTTTGGGGGGGTTATAACCTCTCAGAGCTAAATTTCTCAGATAAAAAAAGAAAATATTACATGATTCTCTGTATTGCTGAAGAATTAGTTAACCCAATGAAAGCATCTGACACACAGAGGTTACTCAATAAATGTTTGTTGAATGAATGAATAAACACGCAAGTGAATGCTGCCCCTGTCACAGACCATCACAATGATACTGCCTGGAAATTCTTAGCCCACGTTCCACCCGACTCTACACTAACCATGTGGGTGACCTGGGCAGGCCTGTGTGCTTCTCTAAACCCCAATTTATTCACGAATAGAAATGGGAGTAGTAACACAAACCTCAAAGGGTTAGTGAGTCAATAACAAATTGTACTACAATTTTCCAAGATGGAATCATAAAAGAAAACTGGGCAAAGAGTCCATAGGCTCTCTCCATATTATCTCTTACAACTGCATGGGAATCTACCTTACATCTCAAAATAAAAAGTCCAATTTTATTAAAGAGGCTATTGAGATTAAATGAGCTCACTGTCTTAAATAAGGAACACACAGTACAAATAGGACAATGCACAGCCCATGAGATACTTAGTAAACTTTCCCACCGAGCCCACCGGTCCCTCCAACTCCAGAGCACAAGTATGGGTCCTCATGGCCAGAGGCCACTGCACCTGAAGCTAACAAAGCTAATGGTCCCCACTTCCAGGATCCCCTGCCTCCACCCTAGGTCTAATTTTGTATTTGTAACTTTCTTTTCTTATACTTAAATAGGAATACCCAATTGCAGAGCCTTCAGGTCACCAAAACCTGACCACGGAAATCATGACAGCAGCCCTCCCCAGTGAAACAATAAAATTAAAAGCCATATCCACAAGAAGTCTGTGTAATTCTAATGGCAGGAACTTCATCCTGGACTGAGAGAAAGAGGACTGGGGAGGAGGAGGAAACTGGGGCCCCCAGGCCCAGGGGCCACCTGCCCCATGATGGAA